TTAATAAATTAATTAGTTTACTTAGAAGGTGTGCTCTTGCGAGCACTTTTGAAGTGCTCGCATGTTTTTGCACGAGCACAACAAATTTTTTTTTTTTTTTTCATTATTTAAATTCTTTTTTTTTTATTATATGAAATAGTAATAAAGTGCTTATTTAAAATGTAGATGGCAGGAGGTCGGGGGAAAAGTCTTATGAGTCAAGTTGCCGGTAAAGGCAAGAGCTTAATGAAAGCCTTGAGTGGGAAGGGGGACAATCCGGAAGATCCGGATCGCATTGGAGACCGAGATGTCCTTGCTTCCGCACGTAGAAGAAAGCAGTTAGCTCGAGAAGCAGCGTTACAGCGGGAAGAAGAGAGACTGAGACGAGAAGCTGTTGCAGCTGGAGCCGGACCCTGTACATTGCCACATGCCGACGACGATAATATGGATACTGACGAGGAGATGGAGGAAGATGATGGGCCAGCAGATGCATTTCAGGATCGTAGAGGTGGTCGTGCCTTACCCTTTCCGCAGCTGCCTGGTCCTGCGTACTTGGAGGGTCCGTGCGAGGGAGGGCCGCAAAATTTAGAGTTTATGCGATGGTTCAAGTCGCATATAGCGATGTACATTTGGGAAGGATATGTAAGTTTTTCTGTCAACACGTGCTTTACATAATTCTTATATTATTCATTTTTTTTAGCTAACAATACATGCAATATTTTTCAGGAGCGCCGTGAAACTACACGGTGCGAGTCGAGGACCAAAGCACTCGAGGACTACCGCGGCCCGCAGGATAACACGATGATTGCGAGGTTGGAGGCAACAGGTCTTTACCACTTACGAGACTGTTTTCTGAAGAGGATGAACAAGAACCTCATGCTAGCTTTCGTGGAGAGGTGGCAGCCGGAGACGAACAGTTTCCACATGCCATGGGGCGAGATGACGATCACGCTCCACGATGTCGCTTTCATCCTGGCGTTGCGGCTGGACGGACCATCAGTGTCTGAAATTCGCCCGGTAGAAGAGTGCTCACAGAGTCTTGCATCTGTATTGGGTGTCGGTCTTATGGACACCAATGAGATGTTTCGAAATAAGGGAGTTGGTTGGGTTAAGGTGAGAGATCAGTTGACCCTTCCTTGCGCCACATACGACAAGAAGATGAAGGGCTACTTGATGTTTCTGCTTGGGTCTGTTTTGTTTGTAGACAAAACAGCGTCTAACATAAAGCCGTGGTGGATCCATTTTACCAACGATCTCGATAATGTCGGCAAGTATTCGTGGGCTTCGGCATGCTTAGCAAACATGTACCGCCAATTGGGTATTGCCACCCGCGCTGGGATGAACAGTCTCTGTGGATGTGTTATTCTCCTTCTGGTACGTGTACCTTTATTAGTAATTATTTATTTATTTAAACTTCTATTTTATTTATTTATTCATTGGTGTTTGTTTGCAGTGCTGGATCTTTGAGTATTTCCCCTGCTTTCGACCACCTCTTTCCCGTTCATATGCCGAGTTTGAGCCTCGATGCAGAAGGTGGGCCCATGGTGGAGGCAATAAAACCACGCTGCAGGAATACCGAAAAATACTCGACGCCATGACCGAAAGAGATGTGAGTAATAATTTTTCTAATTATGTCTATAGTAGAGTTACGGATTTTTCTAATTAGTTTAAAATATGCTTAGGTTTGTTGGACCCCGTATGGTACCGGTGCACATTACTTACATCCTCGGAGCATGTATTACGGCACGATACAGCTGAGGCATTCCTGAGCATTCAGCCGCAGTTGAGGGACTGGTTGACGCCACATGCCCACTATTTGCGTCTCTTACCTAGGAGGGGTCGCGGGGGAGGTCCGAGGACTCGGGGTCGGGGGTCGAGGGGTGGACAGTAGGACATGTTACCTATTTATGTATTAGTTTCGGATTTTTTATGTATTGGTATTCGTGTGTTGTGATTTGCTGTTTGTTTTCGGATTTAGTTTTTTGTACGGATGCTTCATTTTGGATTTGCGAATTTTTCTTATTTGCCTGTATTTTAATTACGTTGTTATCGGACTTACTTATTTAGTTATTTGCCTGTATTTTAATTACGTTGTTATCGGATTATAATTATGTTGTATCGAACGAAATTATATTTTAATTTGTATTATTAACGAAAAAAAAAAAAAAAAATATTATATTGTTGCTCGTGCGTTTTCACACGCACAGAGGCGTTTGCACGTGTGTTTTCACACGAC